CGGTCTACAATAGTGATTTAAGCTCTAAGCCTTAAGAAATTGACTAATCACAGTCGAGTATTCTTCTCATACTTGATTGTGATTCGTCAATTTCTTAAGGTTTAGGGCTTAAATCACCTATTGTAGACTGGCACTTAAGCGTCGAGCGTCTGCGCAGAAAAATGCGCAGAATTTAAAAGAGATAGATTCTAGGCTGAAATTAGATTCTGCGCAATTTTCTACGCAGACGCTCGACGCTTGACGCTGCCATGTAAAGGCACCTTAACAGAGCTCAGAAATGCTTTATTTCGTGCATGCGCAGCGTGCATCGAGCTTGTCGTACGACAAATGTAAAGGCCCGTCTACAATGGCAGTAACAAGGCTGTAGGAGTAGGAGAGTATACTGTTTTTAGTGATGTTTAGACGGGGAGTAACGAAATGGGCAATTCCCATTTGCTCTTAAAAGTATACTCTCCTACCCCTACTGCCTTGTTACTGCCATTGTAGAATGCCCTTAATATCGGCCCAAGGCCGGTTCTACAATAAGTCGTATGTCGTTAGCCGTAAGCAAATTGACCAACCACAGTCAATATTTTTTGGAATTATCGACTGTGATTGGTCAATTTCCTTACGATTAACGACATATGACTTATTGTAGAACCGGCCTAAAGGGCATTCTACAATGGCAGTAACAAGGCTGTAGGAGTAGGAGAGTATACTTTTAAGAGCAAATGGGAATTACCCATTTCGTTACTCCCCGTCCTAGGGGGCGGACGAATACAAAGCGCAACATGTGCAATTTTATTTACGCTCGTTGCTTCCCCCCGTGTGTGTGTGTGTGTGTGCGCGCGCGTGCCTCCTGTCCATGCATGTATTGTAGTATATTTCAAACTTTTTTTGTTCGCAGGGTTAACGCACAGGCGCAGGGTTAACGCACATGGTTTTTTTTTACTTAATTATTAAAAAGTTAAAGTGGTCCGGCTAACTTTATGCAGCCTATGAATGCTTGGTTTTCCTTCACCTCTATTTTCTATTGGCCACCCTGCTAATTTTAACCGTCGGTTCATCTAGGCTGTGTTCCGATTCCCCACCCGGGTGCACCCGATATTATAGTATACGTGACATATATTATAATTTCGGGTGCACCCGGGTAGGGAATCGGAACACAGCATAACCGGACTTGTTACTAATTGGCCCTAAGGGCCAATTTCACCAAGTCCGGTTAGATCATAGACATAGTATATCTAGACCGAGCGTTTGCCTTTATTTAAGGAGTGGGGGTAAAGACACACGTAGAAAAGGACATACTCTGTTTCGTGCTCCTTGCGTTCTTTCTCGCTCGCACAGAGCATAGCGCTCTCTTTCGTCATACGCAAGAGGCACGAAACAGAGTATGTCCTTTTCTACGTGCACCTCGGCTCCCACTCCTCAACACTCGGTCTAGATATACTATGTCTATGGTCTAGATATACTATGTCTATGGTACTATCACTATCGAAAAAATCGAAAAGTGGATGTAGGACGGACATATACCATATGGAGATTTGACCGACAGTACCGAAAAATGGATGTGGGTAAGTGTTTCCAATTCCTAAAAGTGGATGCACGGCGCTACTCTACGGCCTAGAATAGAGACCCTCTAATAAGAGACTGGCCATAAAAGCGTGTCGTCCATGTTTCGTCAAAATCCTGCAAGTGAGAGAGAAATATAGGCTATCTCACTCTTCCACTCATACAAATGTCTGGCATGTGTCGATACATTTCAATTCATGTCGGTGTAAAGTGATACGTGTTGTGTGTTTAAAATTATATAAAAATGCGTGGATACTCAGCAGAATTTTGCAACAACTCATCATCGAGTGAAGCGAGGGGGCATTTAAGGCGGCAGGAGGCACGAACCAAGCATCCATCTCTTCCATGGCAGCGGCACTGTCGTGTCTGTGTAGGGCGTTTACACACTTCCTCAGCCCGACAAATAATTGTTAGAAAACAACATTTGCGGGTCTGAAAAAATATGCGAGGTACGAGTGGCTGAATCGGGAATCGAACCCGAGTCTTTCGCTTTCCGGGCAACTGCTCTTACCACTGAGCTATTCAGACCTCACACCTTACGCCACTTTAATACAGCATCAGAATTTTGCAACAACTCATCATCGAGTGAAGCGAGGGGGCATTTAAGGCGGCAGGAGGCACGAACCAAGCATCCATCTCTTCCGTGGCAGCGACACTATCGTGTCTGTGTAAGGAAAGGATATATAATGAAAATATTTTCCAGGGATCCTCAACGATGTGCCTCATGGACCAAAAATGTTGGCCGTAAATGATATTGTTCGGGAGTCGACCTCGACGAGATCGCCCGAAGCTTTCAGACACGCTCAGAGTTGAGCGAGAAACAATGTGCTCATACAACATGGAATATTTCATGAATATTCTATGAATATTCTTTAGAATATTCGTGAATATCCTATGCGTGTTCTATGAATGTGCAAAGAACGTGCGATGTCTCGCTTTGAATGTCCCTAGAAAGGAGGAGGGCCAATAAGGCTTGATTTTTGGGCCAGAGCGTCGCACTTTTTTGATTACATATTTGTATAGTTGAGGTCAAGAGCTTTCCAAAACACCCTATGAAAAGCTTTTTACGTTGGGGAAAGTGAAAGTTATAAATCCTCAAAGTTTAAGAAACATAGGCATGTAGGAAGAATGAGAATTATCAAGACTATCTGATTTATGATTTTTTGTGTTAAGTAGACTGCCTTAATTTTATGTGTGTGTGTGACAGATTGAAAATATATACATGTATTTGTTATTTTATCCCCCTCTTTTTAAATACGGGCTTGGAACCGTCAACGGCGAAGTTACTTTTTTTTGGTTTTTTAAAATGCTTTTTTTTGTTTTTTTGTTTTTTATTTATTTTGTTTATTTTGTTTTTTATTTATTTTTGTTTTTTTCGTCATAAATGTATTTTTTGCACATTTTTAAGATGCACTTTACAAGAAGGGCATAATAATTGCTTTGGCATTTTTAAATAACTTTCACACAGCAAACATCAATAGAGTAGAATGTAAGATTGCTGGGATTTACTTGCACATTTCGGCCCGATTCCGTAGCTCACGCCTATTGCCCCCCACTCACTGCTCGTACGTTAGCAACGAGTCGCCAGATACGCGTAACTAAGGAGCGCGACGATTTGTCTCAGGAGCGTCCGTATATAAGAATGTCCAAATATAATAATAAGACAATACTCTTCTATAATTAAAAGTTTTTCTTTAATTTATTTTATATCAATGAAATATAAAATATTGAAGAAAAACTTTTAATTTTGAGAATTTTCGCGGGGCATTTAGAAAAGTATTGTCTTATTATTATATTTGGACATTCTTACATATGAACGCTCCTGAGACGAAGCGTGGCGCGCCTTAGTTACGCGTATCTGGCGACTCGTTGCTAACGCACGTGAGTGGGGGGCAATAGGCGTGAGCCACGGAATCGGGCCGAAATGTGCAAGTAAATCCCAACACTGATGTAAGACAATCGCTTATGCTCTGTACCAACTGTCAATTGTTTGATGAGGATTATCATCGACTGAGACTTTGAGGACTTATAACTTTCACTTTCCCCAACGTAAAAAGCTTTTCATATGGTGTTTTGGAAAGCTCTCGACCTCAACTATACAAATATGCAATCAAAAAAAATGCGACGATCTGACCCTAAAATCAAGCCTTATTGGCCCTCCTCCTTTCTATAAATATTCTCGAATGATCTACAAATGTTTTATGAATATTTCCGAATATTTCATGTTTTTTTTTTAATATTCGGGAATATTCATAGAACATTTATAGATCTTTCTAGGAAAATTCAAAACGGGGCATCGCACATTCTATGTACATTCATAAAACAATTATAGGATATTCGCGAATATTCGTAAAACATTCCTGGAATATAGACATTTTTCTTAATATATTCGGGAATATCCACAAAATA